TTCGGTTTAAGAAAAGCATGCGGGGAGTCAACTATCTTCGCTGTCCCCCCCCTCCCCACGTACTCTCCCCCCTCCCAAAAAAAGAAATGGAATCCAAGCCGGACAAGTAGCAGTGTCTGATGCATGTGGATAAACGAATGTGGAATTCACGAAAGTCACCAACCGAAGTGTATGGGGTGGCTGAGCAAAACGTTTGCGGAGGCATAAAAAGTTTTATTTGCTATACAAAACTAGGCAGTACATTATCTCAAAGTACTACAACTACATCTACCAGGGTTCATGCACACAGTTTCATGTACTCGAACCAGTTTTTGGATCAGATCCACTATGCCAAAGCCAGTAACCCGCTTCGACCAGTTCAATGAAGGCCTCCACTGCAGATTCCACGCATCATTCCGCAGACCACTCAAACACAGTACTTCCTGAAAGCACGTCATCATCAAAGGCAGCTCGCAAACGATCAACACTGTACCGCCGCCGCCGCTGCTGCTGCTGCTGCCTTAAACCACATTTGTAGTCGTAGAAAACCGTCGCCCTCCACTGTTTGAGTACAGCAACCCTTATGACTTGTGAGTTGTTCTCAGCTGTTGATTTTTGGTTCTGTGTGATTTGCAAACACTGAACAATGTTTACACTATAGATTACAGTTCACGTTTTCTCTGCCCGGTCATCTACACCTCATACTGGTGTACTGTGTATCCGGAAAATCTTTTCGCTCAGTCCTCGTATGAATAAAAATTGTGATTTCGGATTGATCACACATAGCATGCATGTCTGATAAATCTTTTAAGGATGAAACAGCTCTCTGGTGCTCTTGATCGATTATCACGTGACCATTCCATCGTACAGTTCACCTGCAAGACTTCTTTCAAAGCGTATGAACCATAGACAGAACACAGCAAAGCTAGATGCTGTGTCTATCTCCCGGTCGCAATTGAAGTTGCTCAAATATCGTTTCCTCGATGCCCGAGTATAACTTCAAAGTTGATACGAATTTGGACAGCAATAGTGACTCGAATATTGACCCTAGCCTGATCGACTGGTGCCTCACTGCCGCTGCTCGAGGTTCATCTTATGAATCCTATTATGGCTTCATGTGACAGACCGGAGCAATGGCTCAAGCAGTGTCTCGCACATGATCCACTGGGATCAGCGGAGCAAGATACGATCTGAGTTTTCAGGGGAGCGGGGGGGGGTAGGGGATGGAAGAACGCACATACAGAAGCTTACGCGTATACGTGCTAGCAATCTAAAATAAACCCGATTTGTTACGGAGATCGGGTATGTGTGTGTGTGTATCTATGTATGTGTGGGTATGCGTGTAGGTGACCAAGGCACGTCTCATATGCTTCTCCGTTACGCTTTATCAGGAGGTTTAGAAATCTCTTGGTAGGCATGAACAGCGCTGATGAGATCAACAGGATAGCTTGAAATGATGCTGAGGCACCACTCGAAATGCTATCCGGACAATTCAAAAGGTATTGATTATCTCACCGACACACGGGACAGAGTCCAGTGGACTCAATGACTGCTGCTCCTGTTTTTAGCGCGTACACAAACACCCGGACACACTAAAAATAACCAAAACTATGGTTCATTTGGAATATACCGCTTCCATTGTTAGAAAACTGTATTAGCCAGAGTTAGGGTAATTTCATGCTATTTTTCGAGTGTGATAATGAGAACACTAGGTGAAACTTGTGATCACTCATGGAACAATTCACCAATGCAGAATACTATGCCTTTGGGAGCTACTCGAAAGAATCAAGACGCACCAGTCGCCAGTATCCCGTGATGTGGAACACAAACGAATGAAGAGGGGAAAAAATAACTCACGTTTGGTGAAATTGAATCCAATTTGATCAGTGTGAAGCTCACTGTTTGCGATCGATCGATTTCATGCACGGAACTGTTGGATCGATCATGTTTGAAATTCTTGTCTAGGCTATAGCAAAAGAAAATACAAAGGGAGCTTTTCTTTCTTTCTTTCTTTCTTTCATTTTTCGGCATAATCGATGAACAACCTGACAGGCAACTTGTGTTTGCCGTCTAGTGTGATGCTGATAATCGAAATCTGTTCCCCGCAAACAACTGTACGCTCTCCACAGCCTTCATACGACTGAATGTTCATTGTGAGGAGAAGCTGTGCTATAGATACTACATAGATACTATGGCGGGACACAAAGATGACCTCCGAATCCGGATATCAGTTCAACCGTAATGAACGAATCTTTATTTCGACTGAAGTCGCTTGGATTAGATTAAGCCTCGTCTTTACAACGCAAGCTTTTGTTGAAACGCTCTGGGGTAAAAATGCTCTAAACCAGTGAAACGGAACGCGTTGGATGCTCACGAATTTTCGTTCGTGAAAGTTGAACCAATCCTGTCGTTGTCTTGTTTTAGTCATTCATTTCTCAGTTGGTCGAACGATACTTCACACCCAGAAAAGCTAGACAATTGTTTTGTTGGATAATCACTCCCGGATCGTCGTGGTGGAACTTGTCTATAATTTGTCGATTAACATACGTTAACATAGCGATCATATAAATAGTTCAGGCACAATTCAGAATAAAAACATATGAATTTTATCGATCCACATCCCAAATGGATTGGAAAAATCAGCTATGTTTTGGCGGTACACTGGTTTTGAACAGAGAAGTCAGAAACAAATGGGTNAAATGGGTTAGCACAATGTGGTCTCCATGTTTATTTCGCTGTATCTGTATTTACACACGTGCATGTACGTACCGCAGTCAAAGTGATTTTTTTAATGGTCAGTGAGATCATAATTGTGAGACGAAGACAAGATCGCTAATCACAACAAGCAACACGATACAACGAGAGAGAGACGGTAGAGGGTCAATCACCAAGGCAAAGCTAATGTGATGAACCATGCACGTTGTTAGCAAAGATCGGATTTGAGGCATGAATGGCTAGAGCCTTGGCAAATTTCAGTTTGTTGTGTTGTAGATGACCTGGAATGCGTGTGTTGGAGTAACACAATGCTTTTGATCGAGTATGTGTTGTGTTCTCGAATAGATAAGTCTTTTGTGATCATTCGATGACATAACAGTTACAAACTTATCGTCGCTTGCTTTCTTAAGCCATTCAGTGACGTAATTACCCCTCTGTCCTGCCTATGTAGATGGCCGAGCATCCATACTTGAACTGGTAAGTACAATTTGATTTCATCCGTTTGAATATTCCGATAATATCATTGGGAAAACGAGTCCTTGAGCGAACAATTGTTTTCGAATATTCCCAGTCATGCTCTTGCATATCAGATAGCGGAAAACAGATTACAGAATGACAGTCATTGGCTCAATTGAGGGTCATTAATCGAAGTTGGAGGGAAGGGGATGTGCGTGTGTGTATTTAGGAGCGTTTATTGTGTTAGTTGATGTGATCTTTCACCATTTGGTTTTCACACTGGGTCAGGGCAATTGAAGCGCTTGAACCAGTCGTTTTTGCGCACACAGGTCTGTGCAAAGTAAGCGAATGGCGATCGACTCGGTCATGGCTAGTGTCCAAACTCGGGCCGCCTTCAATCGATTGAGTGGGATGCGACAAACAACATCGAAAGCTTTCTCCGGTTCCATCTTGTGTCCGGTGTCTTTGAGATGACCCATGATCGCACTTGAGATATAGCCGGTCTTTGATTTGGTGGACGTGGGCAAGGGTTCTTTGACCGATGACATTGTTATCCTGGTGGTAATGAAGGCAATGACTAGGTCAATTGCGTAATAGACCCGCTTGACGATAGAGGTTAACCGCTTGCTGACTTGTTCACACATGTCATCGCCTTTGTATACGAGCTTCAAAAATCAAGTCAAGCCTTACGAACCCGAATGTAAATGAGTTCGGTTGATCGCGTGCCCCGGCGTAAATGGAACACAGTTGACCTGTTTATCTGAAATTCCGGGATATTTGTACCTGGGGAAATATTATTAGCTATACTCTGCTCATTCCACGATCCCGTGCAGTTTTGGACTAATCAATACGTGGGTTGCTGGTTTCTTTTCCGCCTCGTGAAGTACTCACACAGCTTTGGATATTCGAGCATATTCGATCGGGTCTTTTGCCTCGGTTTCATATACACTTCGATTTGAATGAATGACTCCTGCTCCACACGTTTACTTGCTTTTCACTGTTTTGTTTTTCTAATCTTGAATTTTCCGAAAATTTCCCCGTGTAATGCAATGTGTCTAATTATTTCCACGGCCTCTACCGTTTTGCCATCGGATCTCAACTTAGCAAATTATTGACAATATATTTAAAATCGGTTTTCATAGCTCGGGTGAACTGAATTCCACTTCACCTGTTCGCCGAACTTGGAATTTGTTTGCAAACGTTTCATCACCAGCCGAGGTGACATCATCAGTGCTTGTGAAGTGGCAGTGTTCTGCTTGTACCCGTTCGTTTATATATGTGCTCTTCTCCACCGAATATTTTGGTTCTTTTCTCTGACTCTGTTCGACTCAGTTTGCCGTTGAACTGGTGTGAGGGGATGAGGGTGGAAGGGGAGGAGGAGGTTGTTCTTATTTCCGATTCTTCGACCGTTGTTTCGCTCTTTCTTTGGACCAGAGTTATTTTGATGAACTTGCGGGTGTAGCCGTTGCGAGCAAATTTTCTGAGGAGGTCATCATCAGCGTACAGCGAAGCACAGTGAAGCGGACTTCCCTGCCCGCTGCCAAACTCACAATGCATGCAAAGTTAGTGGTCAAATTTAAGTTGGACAGGGGTTGGAGGTATTTTGAGGAAGGGAGAACAAGATGAGCCACTATGGTCAACACACAGAGTACGCAATCGAACTCTGCATACATACCGTTTCAAGCATTCAAACCTGATAAGAAACGACAACAAGAACGCCACGGCTACCGGTTCGCTGCCATATCCTTCGATATCTCCAATCAACCAGTTGTGGAGTCTTTCGGACCCCAACCTGGAACGCGAGAGACACCTACTCTACCTAATGGCTCTGTGCATTTCGTCATGCCTCATCTCCACGTCATCTGTTGACCTCTAAGTGGTTTCCTCCATTCCGGATTAGCAAAACCGAATGAAGCGCGGTGAGGCAGACGATGGCTGGGCATACGCAATACGTGCCCTAGCCAGCGAAGCCTACTGGTCTAAATTCGATATGCTAAGAGGCTTATGCCTGACAGACTTCCAAACACACCACGGCTTAACTCCAGGTTACTAACCCTTTCGCTACATCCAACGTGGGCTAAACTTCGTAAACATCGATAATCGAAAACTCCCAGTCGACGGATATCTTCTACTCGCAAATTCAGGGCTTCACAACCATAAAGCACAACTGAAGGAACTCTAGCACAGTATACACGACCTTTCAACTTCAGTGAAACGTCGCCTCTACGCCAAAGGTGTTTCAGTCCTGCGTATGCTGCTCGAGCCGTGGAAATGCGGGTGATTATCTCCTTTGCTGCNGTGATTATCTCCTTTGCTGCACTACCGTCATTGGTCACGCAACTACCTAAGTGGTTTTCGCAATCGTTGCGAGTTCGTTTCTTGAAAATGGGAACAATCAGTGATTCGCCCCAAGATGAATGAATGCGCTCTTACGCTCAAATATTGCACAGTACGGTAGTAATGGAGCTTATGAGGTTATCACCCTCCATCTTGAGGAGAGTGGGAGGGAGCTTATCTGGTCCTGCAGCCTTTCCTCACTTCAAAGCTTGAATGCAGGACCGAATTTCTCCTTCTGTTCTGTTCTGCCCACGGAGCTTCAGGTACAGATGAAGTGATCTGTACAGCGACAGGCCAGTTGAACATTCGGGATCTGAAAATAGAATGTTCATCCTGTTTTCTCCTTAACTCTAATCCTTCACACAT